TGTTCTTATCCTCAGCACCTGGCATGGGACGGTTCGGGCCTGTGGTTTCCAAGTCACTGTCCATAGGCCTCTGGCCCGTTGCCCTCATGCACTGGCTCCAACCCACATCTGAGTACGTAGCCCACGGTGACTGCAGTCCCGGTGAGAAGGAGGGACTCTGTCCCTCGTAATTGTCAGGCACAGCAGTGGGAAGGTCGGTCCCAACCTCAGACATGGTAAACTGTGGCAGAAAGTGTTCTTTTGAACTGGTGAAGCACTGTATGGTCATTTTCATTCTTTTGTAAAACACCTGTATTTTCTTTTATTTTGTTGCAATTTCTAAGTTTCCTCTTTGATGTCTTTTAATCTGCTATGTTTATTTGTGGATTTTTAAATTTATGTTGCTTGGTATGTATGTTTTACCCAAATCTGAAATAGCTACCTTTGAACAACCATGCAAACTGTACAGCCATCATCTCTTCAATACGGCCTTTCCTCGGTTTTCTCTTTTTTATTTTTTTGTACTGGGGATCGAAGGTTTTCTCTATTTTAATCTGCTAAAATTCCAATTAGACCGATGATGTTATTCTTTTGTTTTGTTTTGTTTTGGGTACCAGGACTCAAACATGAGACCTTGCTCTTGCGAGGCAGGTGGTGGAACCACGGAGCTAAATCCCTGGCCCCTTGATGTTATTATTTCATATCTACCATGAGTGTCTCCAAAATTCTTCTTATTTTGCAATTCTCTTTCATCTTGAGTTACATTCTGGGTAATGTACATCTGTGCTATGATAACTGATTCTTCTGACCAATGTGGTCAGCTACATCAGTGGAGGGTTTTATTTCAATTATGATATTCTTATTACAAGACACTTGGTTCTTGTCCCAATTTCCAATGCTCATTTTGACTTCATTCTTTGACTTAGTGTGTGTGTGTGTGTGTGTGTGTGTGCGCGCGCGCGCACATGTGTGTGACAGTGAGACGCATCTAGCTACATAGTCCAGGCTGGCCTTGAACTCACTATGTAGCCCAGGCTGACTTCAAACTCATGGTGATCCTGGCATCTTTGTACTCTTTATTACTCCACTTTTTATTTAAAAAAAAAAAGTTTTGTGGCCAGGTGTGGTGGCACACAACTGAAATCCCAGCACTTGGGAGGCTGAGGCAGGAGTATTGCTGAGAGTCAAGGCCCGCCTGAGCTACACAGTGAGCCCTTGTCTCATAAAAAAACCAAAAAGAAAAAAAAAACAAGCATTTGTACTTGATTAGTTTTACCCTGTGAAGTATGTGTCTACTAGCCCAAGTACCTAGGATCTAAATCCATTGTTTTTCAACTGACTCTGGCTTACACTGAGAGTGATACCGTTGGAATCCACGGCCTTCTCACAAGGTGTTTGTTAGTCATTACAGTTAGGTCTTTTCCTAGAACCTTCTTTAGTGTTTGAGATAAGATCGGAGCCTACTTTCCCCTTTCCCAGGTGGCAGGCCAGTTCCCATTCCTTGTTTTTCACTAAGCTGGGCCATGGTATTTGCCATACATGAGCCCACTCCGTGCTCTGGATTTGACCCTGGTGCTGTCTGGGTCCCTCTTGTCTGCCTGTTCATCTCTGTATCAATGTCCCACGGCTTTCCTGTGGCCTATAGCAAGGAAACCAGAGTCTCACTGACCAGAGTCTGTTTTGCGACCTTCTGTGCTATTCTCAAGGATTTGCTGCAGGGAATCGTTTTTCCTCGCTTGTGTAAGGAGGTGGATCTCTGCGTGTCTTTGCTACACTTAACTGGATAGAATGGGGAAGCCAAGTGGGGAGGGAGGAGGAGTTCCACAGGACTCTGGGCTCCTCTGGGCTCTGGAGCCCTAGTCCAGGGTGACTCCACCCAAGGGCTCCCCTGACCCCCAGGAATAACAGGATCTGTTTAAGGCCACACTGGCCAAGACATACACAGCAGTATGGACCAGTTACATGAACTTTCATGCATCCAGCCTCAGGGAAGTCTCATTTAATCCTGTAGCATCCCTAGGAGGCAGGTGCTATAGATACTGCCTCGATCCCATAGAGAAAGAAGCTGGAGAACAGAGAGCTTTAGTGACATTTGCTGAATTCCTGGGTTGGTTACAAAAAGAAAACAAAGGAATAGTGTGGGGGCCCTGGGTATGAAGTGGCCGAATGTTACTAGGCGATCAGTGCTCACTGTCCATGACACACGCACAAGACCGCAGAAATAACAGCTAAGCTTTTAGTGGAACTTTTCCCCTGCACTTTAGGAGTGTTAACTCAGCGCGTCCGGGAAACGTCGCGCCTAACACACAGTCTCATTATCCTCACCTAAGGGACGACAAGATCAAGGCCCAGAGACATGAAGCAACCGCCCACGGTCACCCAGCAGAGATGTGAGGAAGAACTCGGCCTTCTGGCTGCAAGGACAGTGCCATCCCACAGGCGAGCTCAAAAGTGACCAAGAGGATGGCCTCGGGCGTCACCTGCTCAATGGAAAGTTAATGGAAGCGCTGCAGTGGAAAGAGGGGGTAGCGCTTGTCACTATTTGCAAATGTTTTATTAATTACCATTTACATTTTATTTTTAATTTCTTTTAATGTGGGCGAGGTGTGCCAAAGGATTAGCAGGTGGCTCGATCTTGAGATCCTAGGAAAGGGGCATCTCTGAATCTTCGAATTTCACCATAGTGATCACAGTAGCGTGTGTTCCTGTGCGATCTGAAAATACAAAATTAGACATACGAATAATTTAGACCAGGGGCCTTCGTCAACCAGCTCCGCTGGCCCTTACGTAACTGCGCGGCGGGGGCGGGGAGGAGTCCAGCTCCAGGAACAGCTCGGTG